CTTATGTGAGTATTCTGTTTTTGAGTCTGTTTTTAATCCTGGCTATGTAGCATTGTCCAAGGATTTATCTTACGGTCCAGAAAGTGGCCGCTTTGAAGTCTTGAGAGCACAATTCCATAATTATTGCAGTCGAATTACTCGTAACATTGAAAATGGACGACACTTTGCCCCTATTTGGTAAGATTAAAGTTAATTTTTTAGTATATTTTGATAAAAGTTGATGAAATGTTTCCTTGAAAAGTAGGGATGGCAAAAAAATCTGCCAAACTCGATCCCCGCGGGCCCCGAGGCGAGTTCAGGGCGGGGACGGGTAACGGGGGCCCCGCCCCGTTAATTTTTTTTTTTTTTAAATTTTAAAATTCAATACTTTAAATGAAAATTTTCACTCATTCTAATAGAAAATAGCAGCTAAAATTATTTGTCTAAATCTAATGAATATGGGCAATAAAAATAAATTATAAAAAAAAATTAAACGTGGAAATGACCCGCCCGCCCCTGCCCGGCCCGGCCCGGCCTTAAACGGGTAACGGGACAGGGAATTTCTTAGTGGGGCGGGGGCGCCTCGTCCCGCCACGCCACGTTGCCATCCCTATTGAAAAGTTGTGAATCTCGTAAAAATATGTCGTTAAATTAATTATTGATTTTGATTTAAAATTAAATTCAGATTTTAATCCATACCGATATGATTTTATGTGAGAAGTACAACATTTTAGAAGTAACATATTTTTCTCCTTCCTCGTATATACTCATTTATGCCTTCATTTGACAAATTTATAAATGGTTAAAATAGGAATCGTAGTAGTCCCGTGAAATTTGTGAATAATAATGAGTAGTAGTTATAAATATATAGTTAAAATTGACGTTTTATTTTACCAATTTATAAATGATATGGGAAAGTAAAACATTAGTGTATCCTCGAAGCTTTGAGTTCAGATATTTTTATTTTAAATTTGATTGACCTTTTGACCATTCTCTTGGCAGTGACTTGCTCCCACTAATAAGCAACCGTTTTGAGATATAAAGCATTTTCTTTGCACTCGAAGAAATTGTTGGGTTGTATACTCATATAGTATATTTTACTATAATAAACTAATATTTTATAGTAAATAAATTGAAATTTTATTTATTTATTGTATTAATTTATTATTGAGCACGCAAATTAAATTACATATGATCACCGTGATAACATAAGTTGGACACTTATGTTGAGAAGTACGATATGACACAACTTATATTTTGATTATGAATAATTCCACAACTAATGTATAAGGGTTGACACCTTGTATTGAAAGATTGTCCTGTTAATCGATTTATTATTCGGGTTTGTGATTTGTTCTTATCACATAAATAGTTAAATGTGACACTAGTATACTTGGAGTGCATTGAACGGATCATGTGTTGAGTTTAATTTTATAATATGACCGTGCGGAGAATTAAATTTCACTCGATCGTCGTGTATTTCATCTAAACCTCTCGATAGAGTTATGCATATGTTTTCATGATTTTAATGGCTCTTTGATACACTAATGAGCGAGATTAATATGATTGATCAAATATTTCGATGAGTTGGGAACTTGAGAATGAGGAAAGTAGAAAGCATGAATTCGTGTCAGAAATCGTCGTCACGAAAAATGGATAGAGTGATTACTTAAGCATTTTCTATCGAACGGTTAAAATTCGAGCTCAATATTTAGCGATGTCTAAATTTTGACAACTTCATTAGTTCACAAGACTATTAACAAAAATTGATGAATTCAATTACTCATGTTAATCAGGGGCAAAACAATTATTTATACTCTTACATAACTATTGAATCTCGGACGGAAATAAAATACATATAAGGCTGGTCAGAGGAAAGTATTTAGAGATTCATCGACTTCTGTGATTTTATATATTCCGAAAGTGCAGTCTTTTACCTTAGATGAAAAAAGCAAAAACTAATAATTAGATTGACGGGGTCAAGAGTTGATTAGACGGATCTAATTATTGGAGTTTGGATATCATATGTATGATCAAGACCCTATGGTAGCTCTATAAAGTGAATTCCTTTTTTTTTCTTTGTCCAGTCGAAAAATTAGTTTTTTTTTTAATTTAATTCAAAGAAAGTGCTCACCCACTGGTATACTGTTATTGACTTTGAAAAAAGTACTATAGAAGACTCGGAGTTTTGGAGAATCGAGATATTGGAATGAAAATGTTGGAAGTTCGTGACTTAGAATTAATTCAAGAATTGACAATCAAATTTAGTTAAAGATTCGAATTCTTTATTCTTGATATAACATACACGTGAAGATCTTAAAGATCTCGTTTCTTGAAATTTTTATTTTTATTTTTATTTTCTGGTAATTCTACATCGGCGTTCCAACAGAATTATCTCGATAACTGGAAAGTACCATATGAGGAGTGGTCTGCCATAATCAATTTCACATGCATTGTTTACCTTCACTATATGGGCTGGCACACGGAAAAGGATAATTGAGCATTGAGTGCGCGCATTATACAAATCATAAAGAGGGATTTTAGTCTAGAATGAGAAATAAAGTAGTCCATGATATCGTATCCGTTACGAATGTTAGTCGAATTCGTCATTATTAGGTCAGTTGCATTTTGATGTTTATTTTACTTGTTGTTCGTGACATGACATATTTATACAGTATTGATATGAAAAAAAGGGAAAACCTATGAATTTACACTCCTCTAATGACTGTACACATAACATTGTACAAGAAAAATAATTATTCTGATTATTGTACCAAAATTGACGAACGAGGAATGCGTACTGTGATTTGACATCCCATATGTTTTTCTACAAGTAGGAGTGATTGACCCCCATTTTGTTTTCCTAATAAACCCACCACTTTGATCATATATGGAATTTCTACTTTGATGCTTGCTACTTTAGGGCCTGCTTGAGAGTTTCGACGTACCGATTATAAACGTTTTTTAAAATATCGATTTTGAGCGTTTATGAGCGGATCGATTTTAAGTAATTTTTTAGCAACGTTTTCTAAAAACCGTTCAACCTATATTTGAGAGTTTATCATCCACGGATTCTGACTTTTTTTTTAGAAAAATAATTACATATATGTTTCTTAGTAAAAATTTTAGTTTATTATTTTTTATAACAAATTTTTTTCCTTATAAGTGATATTTTACTTATATATAATTTTTTTACATATAAGTAAATATTTAACTTTAATTTTAAGTTAATATAGTTTTATTTACAATTTAGTTTTGAAGAAAATATTTTGATTGGAAATAATTATTTTATAAAAGTTAAAATTATAAGAGAGTATGGGAAACGATCAAAATTCGTCGACTTGATTGGCTGAGAGAACCTATCAAAATCGATGTCCAAAAAAATTAGTAAACATCGATTTTTTCAACTTCTCATAAACGGTGCCAAATAGCATCTACAATTTTTATCAACAAAAATTGATATAATTGACATTTCAAATGAAAAAAGTGGTCATTTTCCTAATTTCACCCCGAAAGTAAGTAACCATTTTTCCCTCACTAAAAAAAGGGATCTAACATTCGAATTCCCCAATTAATAAAATTGATAAGTTACCTAAACTAGTCAATGTCAATATATTATATACATAGTCCAAGCTACTCCAGCTGGACTTGTTTTGTGGACCACGCAGTATGAGCTTTCATTTTTTGTCTTAATGAGGGAAGAAGCGTGAAAGTATTAAAGCAATCGAGGTTGCTACATGTATACCTTTCTTTACATTTTTTTTTTTTTTTGATACCCAAGTTTTTCAACTTACACCAGACTATGTTCTGGACCACCCATCCCTGATCCCTCAGCGATGGGTAGAAGTTAATCGCGGTATATACCCAAGTTGACCAGGGTCCGTGCACCCTTTATACTCCTGACCTCATGGAAGTCTTCCTTCATGTATATTACATCACCAAACTGCTCCACCCATAATTGAGTATTACATCATCCATGGATATTACATCATCAAGCTGCTCCACCCATAATTGAGTATTATATCACTCAACCGCTCCATTCAGGATTCGAACTCCCCACCCTGAGGTTGCAAGCCCAGCAATGCCCGTCATTTTAATTTACTTAATTTACACTTTACATAATCTCACATCACCTTTCACACGTTTAATTCAACTATCATTCATTTGCCTCGTTCATTTGTAAAGCAGTGGTAAATGAGGTGTTACAGATGACTTGACTAAAGAAATATTGATCTTTGTGCATATGAATGACAAAATATAATATAAAAATAAATATCACAAATCTATTTTCTAATCATAATGAGCAATCCAAATTTATCACACCAAACAAATCAAACGAGCATGCCCATAGCTATAAAATCATGTACAATTAAATTTGTGATTCGTATGCCAACAACAAAATTATAAATAGACGATAGATCGATCAGAATACATTAATGTGTATGGTGTTTGCAGGCATCTCTAACTTAGACAATACTTTTTAAAGAAGTATAGCGGCAAAATTTCTTTGAATTCTTAATTTCATGGACATGTTTAATCACAAAGATCCACAATTTGTCGTTTATTCATCTTTCAAGCCATTAATCAGATTCTATTTGATCCGTTCAACGTATCAATCTTTTACGCTTCTTATGGTAATTTTGCTGAGTCCGTAGTGAAACACCATCACAATTGTATACGATTAAGACGTGATCAAGCAAGTGAATCGAATTTTTCAGTTATCGCGTTCGATTCAGAATATTACACACATCAAAATGTACTCCCAACAAAAACATCCGGAGTGATTCTATATTATTATACAATTTACGCTGAGATCAAAGACTCGAGTGTCCTACTCGTCGAGAATGGCTAAAACCATTAGTTAGGTGCAATGATTAGGTATCCCACGTAAGACACGAAAGCAAAAAAACAAATAACAAAAATTACTGTTCATATGTATTATGAAATCTGATTAGGTTGTCACTAATGAATTGGTAGTTGGTCGATTTGGACTTCATTTTGCAAATTAAGAAAATAATTTTAAAGCAAATCTGGCCGTCAATCGCTGTTACAAGTGAACCCACCGCCACGGGCTTATTTCACGGCATAATATAAAAGCATCAAATTAATGGTCACATCAAATTAATTGAAATAATGATTTTATCAAATCAACTATTAATGGTAAAATAATATTTTGCCACTCCTTCGCCTCTTTTAAAGCTTTGATAACCCATAACTTACCCTTTTTAGTTCAATTTTTGAGCTTAATTTTTAAACATTGATTATCCATGTACAAGTACCAAATTCGATTGACCTATTCATTAAGAGCATGGGTTGTCGTTTACGTTATAGCAAGTTCAAAGACTCGTAGCTTACATGGGATTGATGTAATGAATATACAGTCGAGATTAAAATTGATGAGTTCTATGAATTACAATCTACGTGTCTTTCAATTATCCTTTAACACGTGTTACAATTTAATAAATATTTGAATAGTTTCGAATACTGAATTTTCATGTGATAAAAAGTTAAATGACAAACTTGCTATGGAAATAATATACTGAGTTCTATTAGAGTGTGTTTGATTGGTATAAAATATATATCCTAAAAAAAGAAAATATTTTTCTTATTTTGAAGAAAATAAAAACATACTCTCCCTAAAGAAAATGTTTTTCTAAAAAACAAGGAAAATTAAACATATTTTTAAAAGTTGAAAAATATTTTTTATAGAAAAAAATAGCAATCAAACACTTCAAAATAGGAATTTAAATGAAAAAAATGATATTTTTGATGAAAAATAAATGTAATCAAACATACCATCAATGAAAATTCTGCTAAAAAGAAAAAGTATGAGGAAAAAATGATTGGATCCACGCACCGCAAAGAGAATCGAAGAGTTGTTGTCCACCAGCAATGGCGAATCAAATAGATTACCGACACCACCCTCCAAAACACACACTAACTGCGTGAAAGAGAAAGAAAAGCTTCCGTGTGAAGAAGTGCTTATGACTTGAATTATCCAAACAGTATAGCCCAATAAAGAAACGATACCACAAGTATACCTATACAGAGAGAGAGAAAAATAAAAATAAAAAAGAAGAAAAAAGATAGTTGGGTTTTCATTTTTCATGTGAAGTGACCCAGAAGACAGCCAAGTTAAAGGGATAGCATATTTCTTACTTGTACATTGAACAAATCTACCTCTGTGTAGAATCATAACTATTGTTTGTACTTTGGTGGGAAAGAAACTACTATGTATTTGTAGTGTCTCAAAAAGTGAGCAGCATCAACTTTTTGAGGCTCATGTAGCAGATTCAAGGAGTGAGGAACCAGATCTCTCAAGAACCTAAGGTAAGGTTTTCTATTAATGATTTTACTTTGATTTTTTCTGAGATTTTCTTGAAATTCTCTTTTCTTGTGATGCAATTGTATGACGTGTGAAATTCCTTTCTTTCCCCCATGTTTTATTATGTTTTATGTTGTTTTTTCATGCTTTGATTTGCTGGATGTTTATGGGTTTTTTTTTGGATTCAGAAGAAGAAATGAGTTCTTACTTTTTACTTGTTTTGGCTAGCATGATTCATGAATTTAGGATATATGTATAGGCATGTTCTTGTATTGAATCTATAATCTGTTTTCTGGGAGGGTGGGGTGGGGGGTTGGGAGGCTTCCTATTGGAGCCAACAAAACATTTTTTTATTGGGTTGGTTTTTCCGTGGCTTTAATTTTCTTCTTTTTCTGCAAACAGAGCTCAGGTAGACTGGATCTATGAACCTGCATTATTTTTTTCTATATACCCTTTTTTCTTGTTTTTTTGGTAATTTTTATGCCATATATGGAAACACGAGCCCAGATTCATGAAATTCGAAATGATCTAACAAGTTAAAAAAAATTACAAAAATAGTGAAATCAGAGCTCATTTTTTTATGGGGAAGCAATAGGAATTTCTCAAGAAATGCACTGATTAAGAAGAATTATAGTCTCTAGTACGAGACTTGATATAGAATGCTGGAAATTCTTGTTCATTTTCATGAAGCTGGGGACTTAAACCTAAAATGCAATATCTTATTCTGTACTATACCTAGGTAAAATAAAAGATAAGGATATACTTTGTTAAGTAGAGATGACACCAATTGAGGTTTGATTTTGAGAGCATTAACTTAAATGTTTGAGACATGTCTTTTGTGGATTTAAAGAAGTTACGAGAACGAGTTGTTTCAGTGAATAGATCAAAGTTAGCATGTTCTGATATAGTTGTATAAAAGATTTGATTTAGCTGGACATTTTGAACAGATGTAGAGCTAAATCAAATGAAGCAGTGGAAAAAATATTCGTATAGCCTATTGAAAATTTATTGCTAATAAGGTTTAGTTTGCTATAGTCGATATGGAGGCACTCTAAGACAAGTTTCATTCTTAATGAAAATTAGTGTATGCCGCATTTAGTGGATTTTTTAACTAGAAAACTGAGAAAAACGTCACGTGTATTTTAGATGAAATTGTGATGTTGGTTGTGTATTTTTGCATCTGTTCATATATTTATGTTTTCCATGTTGTAATAAATGAAACTTCTATCATGCACTTACTGTCAATGTTGTATAGCTCAGTTAAGATTTTTTAGCACGAGATATAGTAATTTGCAAACGTCATTTTCTAATCAAATGTCATTAATTTTCAACGAGTTTTCTCACTTAATAACTATGTATCTCAGAAATTAGAACTGTCCATCATTTTTGGATTTATCAATCTGTCTATAGTTTCTCAGTGTTAAACACGATTAATTTTTCTCAACACATCATATAGGGTGATGACACCTGGCTTGCACCATATCATCAGAAATAAACTTGGTTATATACATAGAATATAACGACTTTCTGTTCAACTTTTTCATTTATAAATATTGTTACCAGAAATAAATTTTATCTTGGGAGTGTGGGAGGTGCTTGCTAGGATTTTCCTGGATTTTATTTTTCATAATGAGTGCTGTTGGTATCTTTCTAGATTGATAATCATTCCCTTGGCAGCTGCTTTGATTTGTAGATAGTTGGAGGCTGTAAATTTAAGAATAGCATCTTTTCGTTTCTCTGTTTCCTTTTCTTGTTTCAGTTTTTTTCTGGGATATAATAGTTCGGAGAAACTGATAGTACAGACTATTCTAAGATTGTTCTTTCTCTGTCTCTCAATTCTTTCATGAATCGAGGATTAGTAAGTTTAATATTAAATATGACTACATGTTATCGTTTTGCAGCATTGTTGAGATCATGGGAACTTTGGCACTAGATAATGAGAATGTGCACACTGAGGAGTACGTAACATTGGGGCTTAAAGAATCAGGGAATGGAAGTTCAGGATACCCCCGAGTTTTATCACTTTTCTCAACACTTCTTGAGAGGTCTGTTCAGAAAAACGAAAGGATACTAGAGGCCACGAAGACCAAAGATGCTATCACAATATTTCACGGTTCAAGAGCACCTTCTTTGGGCATCCGTCAATATGTTGATCGCATTTTCAAGTACTCGCGCTGCAGCCCTTCATGCTTTGTTATAGCATACATATATGTGGATAGATTCGTTCAGAGGACAAATTTTTACCTAACATCCCTCAACGTTCACCGAGTTATAATCACCAGTGTAATGGTGGCTGCGAAGTTTATTGATGATGCGTAAGTTTCCATGAAGCTACTTGGTCATATTTATAAATTTCTCTTTTTGCAAATTTCTAACATGACTTAAACACGTTTCAGATTCTTCAATAATGCATATTATGCTAGAGTGGGAGGCGTAAGCACGGCAGAGTTGAACAAGTTGGAGATGAAGTTTTTATTTGGTCTCGACTTCCAACTTCACGTGACTCTCCAGACATTCAGGAAGTATTGTTCGCTGTTGGAAAAGGAAGCAACGGACGTGCTTCAGATTGAACGCTCGTTCCAGGCATGTGGAATAAAAAAGAGCTGGCAAAACAAAGATGATTCAACTTGCGCTCCTACAATTGCTAGATGAAATTCTACTTGGGTCTGGAGATATCAAGACAAAAGTTGCAATGAAAGAAAATGGATTTTGAAATAGTTTGTCACACAGTTAAGTTGTGGATATGATTGTTATAAGGTTGCAGCCTACAGTATTTTTCTTCTTTATTTGAGCAGCCTTCAGTATATTTTTTGTTGATTTTCCTTTTTCGAGTTCTTCGGTTTGTGCTCTGCATGCCATTTTTCTGTATAGGATGAGAGATCATGCATTCAGAAACTTGGGATTCCATTGTTGATCATGTACTGTGAAATCCAAAATGATCTATTTGAAGTTGTGGAGTTGTTTTGGGAGCTATGTCTAGAAAGGTTAAAAAAATGAAAAAAGAGAAAGGGGGAACTGGACCGGACCACATACAGGGAAAGTTCAGACCGTGGTTCAACCGCAGGTGCCAGTTTGCATACCACGGTCGACCGTGGTCAATTCCAAACTTCCTAGACATTTGCAATTTGATTTTTAAATTTAGTTTTTGTACGATTTTGATCTTTTTTTACATTCTTTCAATTTTGATATCGCAACACTCAAAGCTTTCATTTTGTTCCCTAAACCTTCATAATCTTCGAAAATGGTCCGTCTTGAGTTCTGAAAATGTACAATTTAGTCCTTGATAAATTGAATTTCACTTCCGAAACTTACAAATATTTTTTCGATTGATCTCTTAATATTTCTTATTGATCCCGCACAATTCGGCTAGTCTGAACTCTAAATTAGCTCGAAAACCATATCAAGTTTGAATTTCGCCTACAAGAACTATATTTACACTAAATTATATAGAAATTCGTTCAATTTACAATTATTTATAAAATTTAATAGCACGGATAAACGTGTAAAAAACACATCTATCGCGGTAAACTTCACATAGTCAGCCCCAAGATTACATACTTATATTTAAAATATTTAAGATCCGGGTCTCTTTCATTTGATCTATACATGTCGTCCAGATAAAACGCATCATCCATGTGCTCATGTTCTGTCTCGTCGTTGAAAATATTGGCCTCATGGATCTCTCTTTGACTTGCTCTGCCGGATTTATAGGTGACGGCCATCCTTCTTGAAGATCACATTTTAGTTAATAGACAAGGACAGTTAGAGCCATCCTAGTCCATTGCACTAGTTTATAATTAATTTTAAAATATATTTAGCCTCTGTTTGCTGCCCATTTTTTTAGCTGTAGAAAATGAAATTTGTGACCGTCAGAGCACCAACTTCAAGAATAATATGAGATGGAAGTCAACAATTCCTACAAAGTGGGGCCCTACAATGATAGTATTTTTTCTTAAAATGGAGAGAAAATAGAAAACAAACAGGAGCTTAATGAGATCCACAACTTCTCAATTACGCGCATTTTAAATTTTTATCAAAATAAACTAAAAATATTAGTTTTAATCTTACACCACACAGAACATAAATTTAAAGCCTTAAATGAGTAGTTTAATAGAAAACTGATTCGCTCACGAAACCCAATATTTTCTCAATTGATACATAGCAGATAGGATACATTACAGATCTTTTCTTTTCAAAAATCTTCTTGTACGACAAAATCTAAAGCCACAAATAGAAGATAGAATACATTACATATCTTTTCTTTTCTAATTTTTTATCCATCGAGTATTAGATCATTCCAATTCAAACTAGACGATTTTTTTCTGGTGATAACCTTTATTTTTTGATTTCAAGTTCATAACTCTTCTATATTGACATTAGAAAGGATATTGAATCTAATTCAACCTAATAAAATCGGTTTGTTAGGGAATGATTGACTTTACCTTATTAAGTGGATCGTGTTAAATTTATGAACTGATAGAAGAAAATATAGAAGAAGGAGATGAATTCTTCATTAATTATTCATTAAGAAACGATTGAAATGAGATTACATTTATAGGCATTACATATGAATCTTTCATCAACAATTTTAACTAACTGTATTTATTCTAACTAATTCTAACTAACAAACTACCAAACTGATTCCTTTGACAGTTAAATAGGTATAACTTCATCTTGGCTGTTATGGGAGCTGCTGTCTTGGCTTGGCAAGAGCTGGATGATCTGGAGCTGAAGATGAAGCTGTTGCTGTCTTTTCTGCTTCATAAGATCCCCCCTCAAGAGGGGCACGTATGTCAAGAATGCCCATCTTGGAAATATTCATTTTGAACAATGTGGAACCAAGAGGTTTTGTCAAAACATCTGCTAGCTAGCTGATGTTGGGTAGGAATATGGACGATCTTAACCAAACCAGCTTAAAGTTTCTCTTGAACAAGATGACAATATATTTGAATATGCTTGGTTCTGTCGTGTTGAATGGGATTAGTAGCAATGGAAAGTGCTCACTTGCTGTCAGTATACATGAGTACAGGATAATCATGATTGATACCTAAGTCCTGTAGAAGATAAATCAGCAATTGGACCTCACAGGTTGTGGAAGCAAGTGCCTTGTACTCAGCTTTAGCAGAAGACCTGCTGACTGTAGCTTGTTTCTTGGATTTCCATGAAATTAAAGACTCACCAAGGAAAATGGCAAAACCAGTAATGATGCACCTAGTGTCAATGCAACCCGCCCAATCACTATCATTGTAAGCTTTGCGACGCAACTCTGAATTGTTGGGGAAGAATAACCTTTGGCCGGGGGTGGCCTTAATGTATCTGAGAACACTGTAAGCTGCATTCAAATGTGACTCAATAGGTTTGGACATAAATTGACTAAGGACTTGGACGGAATAGGATAAGTCAGGTCTTGTGATTGTGAGGTAGATCAATTTGCCAATGAATCTTCGGTAGACTGTGGGATTAGGTATGAAGTTGCAGTCTTCAGAACTCAACTTGAGGGTTGAATCCATTGGGAATGCTATAGGTTTGCAGCCAGAGAAGCCAGAGTTTTCCGATATATCTAGAGCATATTTTCTTTGACAAAGGCTTATTCCCTTTCGTGATCTAGCAATTTCTAGTCCAAGAATATATTTTAACTTACCTAAGTCCTTAGTTGTGAACTGATTATCCAAGAATTTCTTCAGAGCTTGAATTTCATTGAAATTATTGCTTGCAAGTAGGATATCATCAACATAAACCAAGAGCACCATGAATGAATCACAAGTAGTGTGAAGGAATAGGGAAGAATCTGACTTGGCTTGTAGAAATCCATATGAAATGAGGCTGGTAGTGAGTGAGCTTTGCAAACCACTGTCTCAATGTTTGTTTAAGTCCATACAAGTTCTTATTCAGTTTACAGACCAAGGAAGAGTCATGAATAGGATAAACATGTGGTAACTCCATGTAGACTTCCTCGTGTAAATCACCATACAAAAAAGCATTGTTGACATCTCATTGGTGTAAAAACCAATTGTTTACTGCTGCAATAGCTAATAGCACCCGAACGGAAGTCAACTTTACAACGGGAGAAAAGGTGTCAAAAAAATCAAGACCTTCTTGTTGGGTATATCCCTTAGCAACCAGCCGTGCTTTATACATTTCCACAGTGCCATCTGCCTTATACTTGACCTTGTAAACCCATTTACATCCATTAGCATGTTTGTCAAGTAGCAGTGCATGAGGGTCTCAGTATTTTTCTTTTCAAGAGCCTTAATTTCACTATCCATAGCTTTTTGCCAGTGGGAAATTTTAACAGCTTGACCATAGAATTTTGGTTCAAAGGTGTTGGAGAGTGTTGTAGTAAAAGCTTTGTATTTGGGAGTTAAACGATTAGTAGAAATAAAATTGGATAGAGAATAAGGTTTACTTGATAAATATGGTCTGACCAGCATTGTAGAAGACTGGTTTGTAAATCATACATGGGAATTTGACAGTGAGTTTGATGAGGACTGCTTATATGGAAATGTGTTTTCATAGAAAATTACATTCTCGCTGATGAAAACTGTGGGTTTGTAAATCATACACTTTGTAGCCATTGTATCCAAAAGGATATCCAAGGAAGATGCACTTAGATGCTCGAGGAGAAAATTTTGTTCTATGTACACTGATTGTGGATGCAAAGCAAAGACAACCAAAGGTTTTGAGGTAATGATATTTCGGTGATCTTTTGAAGAGTTTTTCATAAGGTGTCTTGCTGCCAAGAATGGGTGATGGTATACGGTTTATGATGTGTACTGCAGTAAGTATACAATCACTCCAAAACAATAAGAAGAACAAAGGATTGGAAAAGAAGTGCTCTAGCTACTTGTAGGATATATTAGTGCTTTTTCTCTACTATTCCATTTTGTTGAGGTGATTTTACACGGCTTTTCTGATGAATAATCCCATGAGATTGGTAAAAGTCTGGCATGAGGAATTCAGCACCCGTGTCTGATCTAATGTTTTTTATTTTAGTATTGAAGTGAGTGATGACCATTTGGTAGAAGTTTTTGATATGGTTACGAGTTTGAGATTTGGATTGCATTATAAAAACTGATAAGTGTGGAAAAACACACGTATTCGACACTTTTTGGATTTAATTGGAATTGAAATTGAGTTTATTTTTGTGCATAATTATGTAATTTTCATGTTTGCAGGCTAAAACCCCGATACGAAGAAGAACGGAGCGAAACAGGATGAAAATGGACTAAAAGTGAACAACATGGT